AACCAATTATAACAATTATATTTATTTTAAATTCATATTAATTTTTACAAAAGGTTAGAAGTTGTCATATGTTATGGTACTAGTTTCAGTACCACCATATAACACATTTTTTTTGTTTTATAATCTTTATTTATTTTTGAATAAGAAAGTAAAATCAAATGATAAACATTTGTAAATAAATTAAAAGTACTCTGGAAGGTACTACTTGTCGAAACAGTGAATCAAAAGGGCCTATGCATTTTTTTATTTGAGTTTTTTTATTTTTTTATTGTTTTATTAACGAAAAACTGATTACTTTTTGACAGATAGTACTGGGAATACTACTTTAAATTTTTTAATTAGTTCTTGCTTAAAAAAACAAAAATTGTTGATAGATTGTTGATAAATAGGTATTTAGTTTCATTATTTTTAATAAATAATTAGATTTATAAGAAGATTTATTAATTTTGAGCAAGTTTATTTTTAATTTTATTTAGAATTAATAATTAAAAAAGCAGTGGCGTACACAAGAAAAAAATATTTTGAGGGGAGGGGGCAAAAAAATATTATAGTGAATCAAAAGAGCCTACACATTTTTTTAATTTGAGTTTTTTTATTTTTTTTATTGTTTTATTAACGAAAAACTGATTACTTTTTGACAGGGAGTACTAAGGGTACTTCTTTGAATTTTTTAATTAGTTTTTGCTTAAAAAAACAATTTTTTTTTGTGTTGTGACCAATACAAAAATGTCAAAAACCGTATATTTTTCTTACTATTTTTAGTAATTTTTACGTCTGGTACCCAACAGAACTACCAAAAACTTAATTTTTTGGGTCCAAATTTTTCAAATTTCAATTTTTTTTTTATTAAAAGTACCAAACTGACAAAATAGTTTTGTCATTTGTTTAACAAAATTAAAATATTTTTTTTTATAATAATTGGATTTAAAAGAAAATTTATTGATTTTGATCTAGTTTATTCTTAATTATATTTATCAGTGGCGTACTCAAAAAAAATTTTTGAGGGGAGTGGGCAAAAAACAAAAAAAATTAAATTTACCAAATTTGTAAATTATCTGTAAAAAGTGTAATTATATTTGTTTTAAATTTATGTTAATTTTTACAATAGATGTGACCTTTGCAAAATAAAAAACAGTTAAAAACTAAAATCAAGGTTAACTTACAAAATTCCACTAAAAAGTAGCCATAAACATTTTTTTTGACGTTTTTACAGGAAGTAGCCAAAGGTAGGTACTACCAAAATCTTGTTTTTAAATCTCAATTAAATTCTGACCCATTTTTTTTAACTTTTTTTATATTTCTAGCATAAGTAGTTTCAGTATTTTTATAGTAGTACCAACTAAAATTTGTTATTTCGACCTGTTTTTTATTTTTTTGTTAAGCAAACCCATACATGGTAAAAATCTTGTGTTTTGTCTACCAAAAACTCTCAAATTTGCACCCAAAAAACTTGAATTTACTTCACTTTGATTCAATTAGTGACCTCAATAATGAATATTTTAATTGATGTAATTATAATTTATTTCTATTGAATCAAGCACGTGGAGGGTACTTTTTCTATCAACAAACTAGTTTTTCCAGCTAATTTTAAGTGAGAATATAATGTTTAAAATATTTTCCTTGCATCTTTGGACCAATCGACCTTAATTGTTATCACCTTGATGCACTTTAATTACTCACTCATTGGTTTTTAATTTTTCTTTAAGTTGTTTACTTTATGGGAATATTTTGTGACGACAGAAGATCTAAATTGAAAATTTATGGTAAAATCAGGTTTTGTTGCATCAAATGCAACGAGAAAGTTTTTTTTTATTGCCCTCTAGCCTAGATTCATATTTGGCTTTACATTTTTTATTCTTAAATGGAAAATGTCATTGACGACATGAAAAATCAGTAAAATCTGCTAATTTTTTTTGTTTGTTTAATGACAAGCAATGCGAATAATTTGATTTAAATTTACATAAATTACAAAGTGACGAATTTATTTAATTTTGACACAAAACGACCTTAAACTCAGTCTAAACAAGTTTGGCGTGTCACGTGACTAGGCCCAATTGGCCATCCCCTCTCCCAAAAAAAAAGAAAAAAATAAGTATTATAGTCCACTATTATAATAAATGTAAGGATTGGATGCATAAAGAATCAAGGTTACTACCAATCAATATTTAAAACTTGCTAAGAATCCAAGTATTGCAGTTTAATCTTCGACTTTGGTCAAAAATGGTTGATTCCAATCGAATTTCAGACATTTTCAAAGACAAGACTATTTTTATTACTGGTGCCACTGGTTTTTTGGGAAAAGTGTTAGTGGAAAAAATTTTGAGATGCACCGAAGTGAAAAAATTGTATTTGTTAGTGAGGAGTAAGAAAGGGAAAAGCCCCCAAGAGAGATTAGAGGATATTTTCAGTAATATGGTGAGGCTAGAATTTTTTTGGAATTTTTTCGAACCCAAAAAGTGGACTTTTTGGTAGTACCTCTGGGTACCGGACCCAAAAACGCCAAGATGGAGTAAAAAAAGAATGACATTTTTGGCATTTTTGGGTTCGGCCCCACTCATTTATAAGTGAAAACACAAAGAAATTTTTTGTGGGACTACTTGGTCCTCAAACCTTAAAATTATTTTGGGTACCGGGCCCAAAAACACCAAGGCGTAAAAAACAAATTTTTGGCATTTTTGGGTTTGGCCCCACTTATTTATAACACAATTGAAAGAAAACACAAAGGAATGTTTGGTGGTACTACAACGTCTTTAAACCTCAATTTTTTTTTATTTTTTTCCGAAAAGTGGACTTTTTGGTAGTACCTTTAAGTACCGGACCCAAAAACACTAAGGAGTAAAAAAAATAAAATTTTGGCATTTTTGGGTTTGGCCCCACTTATTTGTAAGAAAAAACACAAAGAACACTTTGGTGTTACTATAACGTCCTCAAATCTCAAAATTTTTGGAATTTTTTTAAACCCAAAAACTGGACTTTTTGGTAGTACCTTTGAGTACCGGACCCAAAAACGCCAAGAAAGTAAAAAAAACAATTTTTGGCATTTCTATGTTTGGCCACACTTATTTATAACACAATTGAAAGAAAAAACACAAAGAAATCTATGGTGGTACTACCACGTCCTCAAACCTCAAAATGTTTTTTGGGTACCGGACCCAAAAACACCAAGGAGTAAAAAAAACAAATTTTTGGCATTTTTATAAAAAAGCTTTTTTATAAAAAAAACACGAAGAAATCTTTGGTGTTACAAAAACGTCCTCAAACCTCAAAATTTTTTGAAATTTTTCCGAACTCCAATGGTAGTACCTTTGGGTACTTAACCCAAAAACACCAAGAAAGAGTAAATTTTTGGCATTTTCTGGTTCGGCTCTTCTTATTTATAGCACAATTGAAAGAAAAAACACAAAGAAATCTTTGGTGGTACTACAACGTCCTCAAATCTCAAATTTTTTTGAAATTTTTTCAAACCCAATAACTGTACCTTTTGGTAGTACCTTTGAGTACCGGACCCAAAAACACCAAGGAGTAAAAAATAAAATTTTTGGCATTTTTGGGTTCGGTGCCACTTATTTATAACACAGTTGAAAGAAAAAACACAAAAAAAAATTTGGTGCTACTACAACGTCCTCAAATCTCAAAATTTTTTGAATTTTTTTTAAACCCAAAAAGTGGACTTTTTGGTAGTACCTTTGAGTACCGGACCCAAAAACACCAAAAAGGTGTATAAAATAAAATTTTGGGTTCGGCCTCACTTATTTATAAGGAAAAACACAAAGAATTCTTTGGTGGTACTACCACGTCCTCAAACCTCAAAATTTTTTGAAATTTTTTCGAACCCCAGAAGTGGACTTTTTGGTACCGGACCCAAAACCACCAAGGAGTAAAAAAACAAATTTTTGTCATTTTTGTTTTTATTACTTATTTATGGTACCACTTTTAGCTCTTCGACGTCCTCAAATCTCAAAACCCCTCCAGCCTCAAAAAATGCCAAACCATCAGTGGCGACATCACTCAAGACAATCTCGGTATCTCCACCCCCAACCTCCTCCTCCTCCAAGAAGTCGATTTTATATTTCACAGCGCCGCCTCCACTCGCTTCGACGACTCGGTCAAAACCGCCGTCAAGTTTAACACCAAAAGTACCAAATGTCTCCTCGATTTGGCTGAAAAATGCCCAAAACTGAAACTTTTCATCCACATTTCAACAGCTTATGCCTTCCCCAACGTCAAGGTACTTTACGAAAAACCCTACAACCCACCAAAGAACCCTCATGAAGTACTTGATATGACCAAATTTGGAAAAGATGAGGATATTGAAGGGTGAGTACCAAGTAGTACCAACTGTTAATAATTGTCAGTAGACTTCTTGGTGACGTTCCCAACACATATACCTTCAGCAAGGCATTAGCCGAGGCTCTTGTTGTGGAAAAAATGGACGAAATTCCAGCAATTATAGTACGACCATCAGTTGGTACTACTAAAAATTTAAATTATTTCCTATTTAAATTTCTTTTTTATAGTATGCCCCACGATGGTGGAACCCATTCCAGGATGGGTGAACAACCTTCAAGGTCCCATGGGTTTGTTTGTGGGTGCTGGTAAAGGCATAATCCGTTCCATGTACATGAAAGGTGACTCGTACGCTGATTTTGTCCCAGCGGATTTGGCCATCAATGGTATGCTTGTGGCTTCATGGTACTACCTTTCCCAAGACAAAACCACTCGTTTCTACCATTTAACTGCATCATCAGAGTACAATTTCACATGGGAGGAGTTAATAACAACCGGGAAAAGTATCATTTATAATGAAGTACCATTCAATGGCGTTGTGTGGTACCCTGGAGGGTCAATAAAAAAACTACGATGGGTACATGATTTGTGCTTTCTTTTATTTCAACTTCTACCTGCGATTTTCATTGATACGATTTTGGTACTACTCCGGTACAAACCCATGTAAGTCAACTTGATAATGTTTTAAGGTACTACTGGTACTTTTAGATTGTACCAAATTCAGAGAAGAATACAAAAAGGGAATGACGTTTTTGAGTACTACACAAACCGGGCTTGGAATTTTAGTAATATGAAAGCCGATGAAATTAGAAAATCTATGAATGAAATTGAAAAAAAAGTCTACAAAGTTGATGGTAAAGGATTTGATTTGAGGGATTATTTAAAAAAATGTATTTGGTGTGTAAGAAGAAACAATCTTAAGGAACCAGATGAGACAGTACCGGCGGCTAAAAGGCACATGAAAGTGTAAGTACCACTTTTTTTAGTTAATTTTACTTGATTGTTTTTACAGAATGTGGGCCCTTGATATTACTTTCAAAGTACTACTCGTCGTGGTACTACTGTACTATTGCTATCACTGGTACCAAATAATTGCCCGATTTTTTTAACAATGTAATGGTTTTACTCAGGATTTGTGGTACTAACACTCCCTTTTTTGATTTGTGGTACTACCTTAATTTTTCTAAATAAAACGCATTTAAAAAATATATAAACTTTTATTTGGTTGTCTTTTGCACTATTTTTGAGGGATTATTTAAAAAAATTATTTGGTGTAAGAAGAAATAATCTTAAGGAACCAAATGAGACAGTACCAGCGGCCAAAAGGCACATGAAAGTGTAAGAACCACTTAATTTAGTTAATTTTACTTGATTGTTTTTACAGAATGTGGGCCCTTGATATTACTTTCAAAGTACTACTCGTCGTAGTACTACTTTACTATTGCTATCACTGGTACCAAACAATTGCTCGATTTTTTTAACAATGTAATGGTTATTTCAGGATTCGTGGTACTAACACTCCCTTTTTTGATTTGTGGTACTACCTTAATTTTTCTAAATAAAACGCATTTAAAAAATATACAAACTTTTATTTGGTTGTCTTTTGCACTATTTACAAAGATACTAATTACAATCACCTGTGGTACTAAGTGGTACTATTATTTGAAACTAGAACCCAAAAATGAGCGAAAGGAAGAATTTCCAAATTAGATAGATGAACCCTAACATAATCAAAGTTTTACAAATTTTGTCGACACAATACATTCTGAAAAAAAATTATTAATTTGGTACTGGTACTAGTGTTGGTACTTACACTTTCATGTGTCTTTTAGCTGCAGGAATTGTATCATCTGTCTCATGTAAAATATACAATCTAGCAGCTTTGACACAATCATAAAAATAGTCCTCGTAACAAACCCCATCTCCATCAACCTTGAAAAATATTTAGTACCATTTAGTACTATTTCATTTTTTTAGTACCTTGTACAACTCTCTTTCTCTTTCTGTCATCAATTTTCTTGCTTTAAATGAACCTTCATTGTCAAAATCCCATTGTCTGTTAGCGTAGTACTCGAATACTTCGTACCCTTTAAGGATCCTCCTTTGGACGCGTTTTAGTACCGGTTTGTACCCAAGACACACAAGGAGTATATCGACGACAACTGCGGGTACCCATTGGTAGAAAAAGAATGCCAGGTTGTGGACCCAACGGGAACGTTGCATGGTACCATCCGGGTACCAAAATACCCCATTTAACGGGATTTTGTTATACACCGTTTGACGCCCTATATCGACTAGTTCTTGAAACGTTAACTTGTATTCGGCGGAACTTGTAACGTTGTAAAAGACGCGATTCGAATTTCTGGAAAAATATAAACATGGTACTAGTGGTGGTACCGATTATGTAAAAAATTTATACACCAGATGGTACTATCACATCAAAACAGCTGCAAAAGCTATAATATTATGTAAAATTAGCACTTTCCTTTGAAAAAATATAAAAAAGAAAGTAGTACCTTGGTACAAAACTTATTAAAAACTTGTGAAATTAATAATAATCAATTAATCGTTGAAATTTAAATTGATATTAAAAGTTTTTCAAAGATTTTAGGTTACCTACAATAAATTGTACTATTGATCGAAACACCTAAAAAACATCACACAAATTATGTAACGCATATTTTTTTTAAGGTTTTTACTATACAAAAGTATAGTAACTTTAAAGAACAGGACATAAACACAAAAATTGTTGGTACTACCGCCTCACAACGTCTGAAAATTCATAATTTTACGTCTAAATAACTGACTTTCCTTCAAAAAATTATAAAAAGTAAAGTGGTACTTTGGTCTAAAACTTGTAAAAGGAACAAAAAATCAGCTAATAGTTGAAATTTGAACTAAAATTGTTGCCAAACTTTGAATTAAAAGTTTAACAAATTATCTATGTTGTGGTACTACCTATGATAAATAGTACTATTACCATCAAAACTCCTGAAAAAACATAATCACACAAAAAATAGTTAAAAAATCGCATAAAAAATTGATCTAGGTTGGTACTTTGGTGTAGTACCTTTAAAAAACGTGACATAAGTGACATAAACACAAAAATCAATTGATATTTCAAGTACTCATATTACAAAATTAGAAATTTTAAAGCTCACGGTGTTGGTACCACTTCTACTATTTGGTACCACCGCATTTTTACGTAAAAATTGCATCATTTCTAAAAAAATGACGACTTTCCTACAAAAAATTATAAAAAAGTAAAGTAGTACTTTGGTCTAAAACTTCTGAAATGAACAAAAAATCAGCTAATAATTGAAATTTAAATTGTTACTAAACTGAATTAAAAGTTTTACACATCAATTACGTTGTGGTACCACCTATAATAAATAGTACTATTACTATCAAAACCCCTGAAAAAAACATAATCACACAAAAAATATTTGAAAAGTAGCAAAAAAAATTATTTCAGGATGGTACCTTGGTGTGGTACTTTTAAAAAACGAGTCAAACACAAAAATCAATTGATATTTTAGGTACAAAATTAGAAATTTTAAAGGTCAGACACGTGTTAGTACCAATTCTACTATTTGGTACCACGGCATTACAATGTCGGTAAATCCTAATTTTACGTAAGAATTGCAAAATTTCTATGACTTTCCTTCAAAAAATTATAAAAAAGTAAAGTAGTACTTCGGTCTAAAACATGTAAAATAAAAAAAAATAAATAGTTAAAATTTAAATTAAAATTGGTGCTAAACTGAATTAAAAGTTTTACAAATCATTTATGTTTTGGTACCACCTATAATAAATAGTACTATTACTATCAAAACTCCTAAAAAAACATAATTACACAAAAAATATTTGAGAATAAGCACAAAAAATTGTTTCAGGGTGGTACCTTGGTGTGGTACCTTTAAAAAACGAGACAAACAAGAAACTATTGATATTTCAGGTACTCAAATTACAAAATTGTAAATTTTACAGGTCAGCCACGTATTGGTACCACTTCTACTAGTTGGTACCACCGCATTAAAACGTCGGAAAATCGATAATTTTATATAAGAATTGGAAAATTTCTAAGCAAATAACGGCTTTTCTTCAAAAAATTAAAAAAGGAAAGTAGTACTTTGGTCTAAAACATGTAAAATAAACAAAAAATAAACAAATAGTTAAAATTTAAATTAAAATTGTTGCTAAACTGAATTAAAAGTTTTACAAATCATTTATGTTTTGGTACCACTTATAATAAATAGTACTATTACCATCAAAACCCCTGAAAAACAATCACACAAAAAATATTTAAAAAATGTTGTAAGGTGGTACCTTGGTGTAGTACCTTTACAAAACGAAACATAAACACAAAAATCATTTGATATTTCAGGTAGTTATATTACAAAATTAGAAATGTTAAAGGTCACCCACGTGTTGGTACCACTTCTACTATTTGGTACCACCGGAAAATCCATAATTTTACGTAAGAATTGCAAAATTTCAACGACTTTCCTTTAAAAAATTACATAAAGAAATGGGTTTGACCTTCTTTTTTATCTCAGACAAGTGAAAGCAGTCATGGCTTACTTGAGCACAATGCGATCACAAGCACTGCAAAGCATAACGTTGACCACGATGTCCACAGGGACGTAATCAGCGTAGGCTTCGCCTTTACAGTACATGGTACGAAGTACCCCTTTACCAGCAGCTATCAAAAGTCCCATGGGACCATTAATATTATCAGTCCACCCAGGGATGGGTTCTTTCAATACTGGCATAACTAAAAATAATTTAATAAAATTTTGAAAAAAAAAAATACAAGGTGGTACTTATGGACGGTCGGAGAATAATAAGTGGTATTTTGCCAACTTGATCTTGCACTAAAGCCTCACCCAAAGCTTTAGTGAAGGCATAACTGTTGGGCCACTCTTCCAGAAGTCTGAAAAAAAGAATGAAAAAAGTGGTACCACTTTTTCAAAGTACCCACTTTGGTGCTATACTATTCACAGCTTCGTTACTCATCAATTCGCATGATTTTATAATACTATCAGGGTCGGCTGGTGGTTGGTACGCTTTTTCGTATAGTACCCTTTCATTGAGATGACAATAAGCCGTCGAAAGATGAACAAAATTCTAAAAAAAAAAATTAGTACCAGTAGTACCAAAACAAAGTGGTACCAAAAGCCTCTTGCACTCCTTCGCCAACTCGAGCATAAGTTTGGTACCCCTGACATTAAGTAGTACCGCTGGTTTTAAATCCATATCAAACCGTATGGTGGCAGCACAATGGAAAATAAACTCCGCCTCCGCCGCCAACTTTTGGCGGTCGCTGGTACTCAAAGCCAAGCCGGGGGCGGCGATGTCCCCCGACACGAACTCCACCCTCTTGACAACGTCATCACCACGTGTTTTTTTCGCCAACTCGAAAAGCTGCAAATTTTTTTTATTTTCTTTTTTGTACGATTTTTGGGTTGGTAGTACCGGATCGGCGAAAAGTGCAGCTCGGCGTTCCGTTGGCGATTTGCCTTTTTTTGGGCGTACCAAAACGTAGATTTTTTTCACGTCAAGACAGCGGAGGATTTTCTCGATGAGGACTTTGCCCACGAAACCGGTACCACCTGTTATGAGCAAGGTACGACCGCTGAGGGTTTCGGCGATGCGGTCACGGGATTGGTCGATCTCCTCCGGTGCCATCTGAAATTGAGGGTACCACAGGTCAAGGTTACAAGTTGGCTAATATGGTACTACTTTGAGTACCACCATAAAAATAAAAATTTTTGATGATTTTTATTTATTTTTGCATGAGAAAGTAAATTCTACTACTACTTAACACTACTTGACAAATACAGTGAATCAAAAAAGCCTTTTTTTAATTTTTTTTAATTTTTTAACTGTGTTATTAACGAAAAACTGATTATTTTTTGACAGTGAGTACTAGGAGTACTAGTTTAAATTTTTTAATTAGTTTTTGCTTAAAAAAATTGTTTTTTGTTGTGATCAATACAAAAATGTTAAAAACCGTATGTTTTTCCTACTATTTTTAGGAATTTTTACCTTTGGTA